ACACACACACACACACACACACACACACAGACAGACACAATGAAGATCTGACCCATATGCAGTGAAAAGAAAGCTGGATTACTGCTGAAAACTCCTTGAATAAGTGCTTTTGCTTCAAGACCCAGATTTTACATTGGTAACTTGGAACACAGTGCTAAAAATTTCTTGAAATGTATTAATATTACTATAAACTCCACAGGCTCAACAATATGGAAAACATAACACAGGAAGAATATAGTAAAACAGGATTCTTTATTTGTTTTTGTTTTAAGTTAATACTTTTATTCAGCAAGAATGCAGCAAGAATGCATTTAATCAAAAGCGACAATAAAGATTTTAAATAAATTCTGTTCTTTCTATGCTTGAACAAAAGATCATAGTTTCCACAAAAAAAGTCAGAACAACTGTTTTCAACCTTGATAATAATCAGAAATGTTTCTTGAGACTGGTTTCTATTAGAATGATTTCTGAAGGATCATGTGACATTGAAGACTGGAGTAATGAAGCTGAAAATTCAGCTTTGCATCAAAGAAATAAAATACATTTTAAAATATATTCAAACAGAAAACAGTTATTTAAAATTGTAATAATATTTCACAATTTTACTGTATTTTAATCAAATAAATGCAGTTTTGGCAAACATAAGAGACTCATTTCAAAAACATGAATAAAGCTTGATTATTAAAGCTATTGACTGGTAATGTAGCTCTATTTGTATTCCACTGCTTTTCCTAACAAAACATTCACTGCAAAAAGTGTTAGATTTGTCATTTGTCCTTTTAGACGTGAGCATGAGGACAGAACGGCAGACTAGTGACTTTAAGGAAAACATGAGTCATACTTGAAACATGATTTAGTGTCACTAGGAGACAAAACTGGTCCTTGGAAGTGTAAATGTTAGCGTAGGATCCTATACTGAGTAATGTAAACACTCCTCCTCAAATGAGCCATCGTTTAAAAGCATGTCTAACAGTATGTACATTTGCGAGTGTATTACTATGCGCGTTTGTCCATGCAAGGGCCTTTGGGTTTACATGCATATTACTAAGTGTGCTTGAGAGGGCGACTCGGTGTGTAACTAGAGCCGCTGGTGTATTAAAGAAATTGTTGGAGCCAACCTGTACTGAGCCAGAACAGACATGAAATATTCACAACACCACACACACACACACAAAGCTAAAACATGCCAAGCCAGATGGTGTGACATTCAAAGAGCACAATCTAGCAGCCTATCAATAGGATACAGAGAACATTTTATCAAGAGGGGCGTGATGGGTAATAAACACTTTGCTCCCAGAGAGGGACTGGGTTACAGCGCCACCTTGTGGTGCTTTACCACGCCATATGTTTGGGCATGTGCTTACTGATTGTTGACCTCTGATACACACGGACAGATGGACGCAGCGCCAGACCAAAACAGAGCCTGGGGAGACGAGATAGGTTTGTACCTTGGCTTCAAAGGCATCTAATGGATTTATATCATACAAGAAGTCTGAGAATTTAAAACTCGTCTACTCAATGCACTGCTGTCTGCATCCAGCCGGGATCAGAGAAAGAGACGAGTATTGATTTTACCTTCAGTTAACAAAATGGTTTTCCCAAGCTGACTAAATATAAGGTCTAGCGTAAAAAAGTAGGGGCGTTCTTGGGTGCAAAGCAGAAAATCGAGGAGCCTGGCTAGCCAAAACGCACACAAAATTGCCCGCTGTCATACACGGTTTGCCTCAGAGTGGCTTTCATTCATTTGATACATTGTTCACTCACTCATCTTCCAGTCTGAATTGGCCACGCTCTACAAACTCGGCAACAGAGCTCAGAGCAGACAAGCATTACTCTCATTTGCAGGTACTTCTGAACACACACAAGCACCTGGAAAAATGGGGAAAATAAATGAATAATAAAAAATAAAAAACCGAGTAAATGTATTAGTCAATGAGTTAATTATTTAGTAATTAACTTGTGTATTAAAATCTTGCCACAAAAATAAGGAAAATACTCTAGTGTTCTTCCCACATAATGTGCAAACTGAACACTATAAAGCAAATTATATGCTAAATATTGTAAAAAAAAAAAAAAAAAAAAAAGTTACAAATATATTGCAAAAATATTTTAAATATACATTTAAATATAAAATGTATATGTAATATAAAACAGCTGTCCACATGATTAAAGCAGCAATAAAGTCATACAATTATTAATAAGGAAAAAAACCACAAATTAACTGATAAAAAAAATTGATGAACATTTTTCTTTACTGATTTAATTAAATTTTTGCAGCCTTATGTAGTCAGATAATTAGATAACATAAATGTGTGCGTGGAAATTTCATTGCATAAATAGAGAAAATATGCTTTTCAATATCTTGCTTGATGTTCTACTTCAAATACTGTGCAAACTAAAAGCGATAAAATCAGCGCATGCTAAATATTGTGTGAAAAACTATTTTTAATATAAACGTTATAATATAAAATGCAGATAGCTTTCCACATTATAAAAATTCAATTTTAAATAGGAAACTCATTCAATTATCAATAAGGAAAAACAAAACTACAAATTAATTAATTAAATTGGTTGTTAATCATTTTCTTTATTTTGTTTTAAGTTAATACTTTTATTCAGCAAGAATGCAGCAAGAATGCATTTAATCAAAAGCGACAATAAAGATTTTAAATAAATTCTGTTCTTTCTATGCTTGAACAAAAGATCATAGTTTCCGCAAAAAAAGTCAGAACAACTGTTTTCAACCTTGATAATAATCAGAAATGTTTCTTGAGACTGGTTTCTATTAGAATGATTTCTGAAGGATCATGTGACATTGAAGACTGGAGTAATGAAGCTGAAAATTCAGCTTTGCATCAAAGAAATAAAATACATTTTAAAATATATTCAAACAGAAAACAGTTATTTAAAATTGTAATAATATTTCACAATTTTACTGTATTTTAATCAAATAACTGTAGCCTTGGTGAGCATAAGAGACTTCTTTCAGAAATAATATAAAATCTTACCAACCCTAAAGTAACATTTATTTACTTATTTTCTTTCATTTACATTATTATTTAAAGTTAAGAGAGTGTGAACTTTATGCACAGGATACCCAGAACGACCTACGTCATTTGCAGTATGGAATGCACTTGACCTTTCATTTCCAGTGAGACTATGCACTATACAGCTTCTTGACCGATTTTAATTACTTTTGTCTGCAAAAATTGATTACAAATGTAATATAACTCCAGAGATGAAAACTAGACTGTTTTACACATGCAATGGCGTGACATACATAATCAGTTTAGAAGGTTTTACCATTGCATTCTGTTCCACACATCTCTGAAAAAAAAAAAAACATACTATGGTTTATGCTTTTATACTATTTCCATTTTTCAAGAGAGAGCATGAGAGACTTTTGAGAACTGCCATATGTTTTAAAGCTTTAACACTCAAATCAGTCTCAGATATTTCATCATCACACACCCCGGTATGGGCCTCTCGTTTGACTCTTTCAACCAATAGCAGGGAACATAACTTGGCACGTTGGTGACATTGCATGATACTGTTACATGCAAACATTTTTGCACACAACCACTAAAAAATACAGCCATTCTCTGGAAGCTGAAGTTCAACTGTTTAGCTGGGGTCCGTACTTTGCTTTGCACAGGGGCCGATCCTGTGAAACTAGAACAGAATGTGCTTTGTGAGGGGCACAGTGTTGACTGTTACACGCGGAGCTGTATGAAAATGAGCACGCTTTCTCCACATGGACAAACTGCAGCCTAAACAAAGCAGATGGAAATGCTTGACCAATTCCTCCACATTAGAGTCCTTCCTTACTGTATGCAGTTACTCTGTGGATTTGACTAAAGAGTTTGATATTAGATATTAAACCCATTCTCTCTTAATATTTTTCAGCTATTTACAATGCAATTTGCTCTGGATGGCAAAAGAGTTGTATTGTTTAATTAGTAAACCAGCATTTTGACAAGCAGCCAATGTTTTTCATTACATGAACACAAGAATTAATTTGCACAAATATAAATAAATCGTGAACGGCAATAACTGCCTATACTGCTCAGCAAAATCTTTTATATGACTGAAAAAAAATTACACAGAGGAAATGAATTAACATTTGTGTGTTGAATGGTAATTCCTTGAAAAAACCTATCAACCTGTCAAACCTGTCTCAAACAATTATTTTGCTTAAATTCTCTTTTGTAATTATGAAACAAATTGAATGAGACTGCTCTTAATAATTAAAAACGGTAATAAAAATAATTATTAATTATAATAAAATCAGCATGTTGTCAGTCAGTGTCATTTTAATATATCTTAATAATATCATAATTTTTTTATATTTTACTATTAAGGTTTTGTTTTAATTTTTTTTTACATCTTAAATTACCTCTCATTTTATTTCATTTAAATGTTAAGTTTTAGTAATTTTACGTAGTAAAATGTCATTTTTAAAAAATAAATATTTAGCTTTAATTTATTTTTATTTCAGCTTTAGTTTTTTATTTTTTTTATTTTAGTATGTCAGCTTATTGTAATGCAATTATTAGCCAAGGCAACATTTCTAATTTTTCGTAGGTAATATTTTATTTCATTTCAGCTTTATTTCAACCAACAAAATTTTTTTTTAATACTTTTAGTGAATAATACTAACACTGGACTAGTATGCTTTCACTCTATGGAAGAGAGCAGCATGAACATTCGGCTAAACGTTTCCTTTTGCACTCTACAGATAAATGAATGTCATATGGGTTTGGAGCATCATGTGCATGATTAAACAATGTCAATTTTAATTTCTAGATGAACTATTCCTTTAAAAGCACATCACAGAAACTGTCCGGGATTCCATCTACAACAAATGCATTTACATAAACTAATACAACTGATAAATTCCCCCCGGTCAGATCGTGCGGGGCTGGACATCCATTCATGGAATATGCTGTCATTATTCCATGGGCCAGTGTTGATCTTATGGATTAACGGATTGTGGAAAGTCTCCTCCATCAGCTGTTTCTATGGAAATCAAACATAAACATAATTCATCTGACACTGGATATGAAGTTCTTCCCATAACTCCCTTTGGGAAATGTGTAATTCAGAAACAAACAGCTCGCATCCCAGTTGCCACTGCTAAGTTTGAACTGGATGTGTTTTTTGCGTCTTGTTGATAGGTGGAGATGTTTGGATTACAGTCTGACTAACTAAATCCCATGACACACCAATCTGAGACAAAACAAGAGGAGCAGATGAGCTCAGCTGAAGCTGCTGATGTGTGTGTCCACCAACTGAGACCAACGACGAGTTGTTATTGTCACTCGTATTTCAGAACGAAATGGGATATATAAAGAATAGGACATTTTATCCAAGTCAATTTGATGAAATGTTACATTGTTACCACTTGGACAAACAGTTACTTGGAACAACAGGCATGCACTGATTAATTGTTGACACCAGGAATGTGCATTAAAAAGATAAATGGGTTCAATTTTGATTTCATGTTTGCTCACAACTATTGCATAGCCTATTCCAAACCAGAACAAATCAGACTAAGACAGATGCTTAACGACCTTGCTTGTGCGTCTCTCGCTCCACATCTCACCCTCTTCAGTAATTCTGACATTCTTTCACTGACTCGTGATTGTGTCACAAGATCTGCCCCAATGGAAGTCTTTATCACTGCATGTTGACAATAGAGCGCATATGCTTGCAGCCTGTATGCGCACATTCTGTTGGGCACACATGTATCTGCAGAACACATATGGACACTATCTCAGGCTCTAAGCATTCCACTGTCATGTTAATACACGATCATGGGATGAAGCTGTCTGGCTACCACCTACATGCACATGACTAACAATTATGCAAACGTTATACTGGGAGAACAGGAATTTTGCACTAAGTTTGAACAAAACAAATCTGAGCAGTTTAGGTTTTAAACGCCTTTGCAGTTTTTCAAGAAATAGATTTCAAAGGAAAACATTTTTGTTAGAACAATCCAAACATGTTTTGGAAGTACTGTGTAACATTTTAATTTTGCCTGAGGCTTTTTCCTCGAAAAGAAAGCTTTTAATGATACCAAGCAAACAGCACCTTACATACATTAAAACTGTATATTTCTGGGGAATTAACAAATGGTTAGTGCTGCCTGCTAAAGCACCGCTACAGAAAATCCCATAGAATTACACTGAACGAGGGACCCACAACATATGCATTGTAAAAATGTGAAATGTACAGTAAAAACGACAGCCGTGGTTGCCAGAACTTCACCGTAAAACTGTAAAAATACAGCAGCAACAATATAAGTGTTATGGACTGAACTTAAATGTTCAGTAAAAAGACATGCACTTCATTAAAGGGATGGTTTACCCAAAAACTCACCCACAAGTTGTTCCAAACCTGTATGAGTGTCTTTCACCTGTTGAACACAAAATAAGTTATTTTGAAGAATGTTGGTGACCAAACAGGTGACGGTTGACTTCCACAGTATGGAAAAAAAAATACTATTGAGGTCAATGGCTACCGTCAACTCTTTGGTGACCAATATTCTTCAAAATATCTTCTTTTGTGCTTAGAAGAAAGAAGAAACTCATACAGGTTTGGAACAAGTGGATTACATTTTTGGGTGAAAATATCCCTTTAACCAAAGTAAAAATCTATTTTGTACCTTAAATATTAATTTATAGGTAAATACTAATATATAGAAGGAGTGCCATATACACGGTAACACACGTGACTCTAAAATAAAATAATAAACATTAATTAATGTAACATAAAACCCAAATCTACATAACTGATAACAATAGGAAAAAACATAATTAAAACCAAAACCAAAAATAAAAAAAAACTGTACATTAAACCGTATTTTACTGTAAAATTACATGAACTGTCTTGTTAGATCTATTAACGTTTTTCACAATATACAGTAAGGGAATGTTTAACCTTATAAACTTATAACTTGTTGTTACCCATTTAACAGCACTGTAAAAAAAATTCTGTAGTTTTTACTAAATAATTTTGGCAGCTGTGGTTGCCAGAATAATTTTGTAAAAAATACAGAAAAACTGTAAACAGATTTACGGCCAAAAACTGTAAATTTTACAGTATAAAACTGTAATTTACAAACAAGAAAATTTTTAGATATTTTACAGTTTTTCCCTGTATATAGTACGGGAACTTACTGTTAACCTATTAACATTTTTTTTCCGTAGCGTTTTTACAAAATTTTACAGTTAAAATTACACTTATTTTTTACAGTGAGGTCTTTAATCTTTAAAATTCCAATCATTTTTAAAGAGACTAGTAAGCAAACACCTAGCAACAACTCAGAACACCTTAGAAACTGCACAGCAATATTCTGGCAAGCACCCAGAACACCTTAATATCGTGGCAACATGGAGGAGACAGAAAAAGTTAAACATGTACTTTGCCAATAAAATAGAACTGATGAAAGGAATCGCACTAGTTCCTATTAATGCAGCAGTGAGGATATTAGACAGTAAAAATGATAACTCAAAACCATGGGTGGAAGAAAATATGACCCGCATGAATCACACATATGGTTGAAAGCCACAGGAATGCACACTCAACAGACAACAACGTAAACAATATCACATGCTTTGCACTGCAGCTATATTTTAGAATTAGGTTAAAAAGGAAAAAAAGTTTGTCCTGGAAAATGCTGACTATGCAGCTCTTGCAGGCTAAATCTTCTTGAATGTACAGGAACAGTGAAAAGGAAAAAAAAGGGAGTTTTTCCATAAGTCACAGGGTTCAAAACAAGAAGCAGAAGATATGAAACACGTGTAACAGAATTTGAAATCTGCTTTAGGGGACAAACTTTAAATGAAAAACTTTTTGGATGCATTTTCTGGATTTGAAGCAAACAAAGTCCGTTCAAAAGTCACTACCATAATGTCAAAGTTATGATGCTGACTTTAAGACAAACTAATTCTTTTTCACATAACTTCATTTCTTTTGCAATAAGTACAAAGACAATAAGCCAATTATTTAATTTGGCAAACAGCATGTTGTCTTTATAATATCATGATTAGAGGGATAGACAGTTAGCCCAAAATGAACATTTTGAAGACATTTTGAAGAATGTTGGTAACCGAACAGTTGCTGGTAGCCATTGACAGTATTTTTCTTAAGTCAATGACTACCTGCAACTATAGCAAATATCCTCTTTTGTTTTCAGCAGAAGAAAGAAACTCATACAGATTTGGAACAACATGAGGCTGAGTAAATAATGACATCCTTTTCATTTCTGGGTATCAATCCCTTTAAGCGTACTATTTCTCAAACAGTATAAATGGTTCTGCATACAGTATACATGAGAATATATAGGCGCTCTTATATTTTAGGAGAGGGGTCCCTCACAAGGGATCACCATATTTAGCAGTCCTTGCCATCTAAAAAAAATTAAATGCATTAAGAACAAAGGTCAAAAAAGTAATTCATACACAAACCCATTGATCAAACCCTTTTTTTGTTACATCCAAAAGACAAAAATGCTGCATTAATAAAGTTCTAGACACACACAATCCACACAATTGGTACAAAAGAAGCACATACATATTGCTTTCTTCATATCTTCTGGTGGAAACGTGGAGCTCAGGAGGGCGTCCAGCACAGAAAGAGACCTAGACAGGCTGGTGCTGTCAGTTCTACAGTACTGAGGGGTTGGAAGAGGCCCTGTATTACTTATAGAAGCCTGTTCACGTGAACTACTGTAGGCTACTGGATAGACTACATTCCATGTGTGTTCGAGGAAAAGACATGCAGTTCTGTAAAAGCACCTCTCCCAACATATGCATGCTATATATATATATATACACTCTCACCCATAGGGAGGTGTTCAATGTCAACTCAACACGTCCACAATTCACAAAATGCCAAACTCGTTTCCTCAACTTTAGAAACCACTGCTTATAACTGTGTGATGTGCTCTTCATTGAACATTGAAACTCAACACAACAACATCTAATCCTCCACCCTTGATGTTGTTACATGACACTTCCACTTTTTCTTCGCCAGAATGACATATCTGCGATGAGTTTGTGTGAGATTTCGGGTTTTGGTGAAGTTCACCGCCTCTGCGTTGTAATATAAAGTCATGACATGTTCATTGAAAGCATATTTTCATAACATTCCTTCATATAACTTTAGAAGAGCTCGTTTGAAAGTTCAGCGAATACATGGAAAGGTTCCATGAATAGCAACACTTTTGACACTGCGGATTAAAATGACCGCGTAAAGCAGGAGAAAATCGAAGGTCCAAACCTTTGAGCTTGATCTGGTCTATGAGATCATTTGCGCGTGCCAGCTGGAGATGTGAGGTCGCCAGTTTGGGATCCGAAGAGTTACAGTTTAATGGGGGAAAAGCGCGAAATAACTACAGCTCCATGGCCGAGCTAGGTCCTAAAGTTAGTGGACAGCCCCGAGAATCATTCGGGCTTTGTGTGTCCCTCACATTCCTTGTTAAAGCAACACAAACAGCAGTGGAAATCCCACCCTCCGCGGCGCGCGCGAGCTTTCTCTCATTGGATGGAGACATGAAAGAAGCCCTGTGTTTAGAATCAGGAGAGCAGCGAGAACAAAGCCGCGGAACCCGTTCAACTGCTTTTCGCCTTCTCGTTCTGTTTCGAAGAACGAAATATGCTAAGAAGAAGAAGAAAAAAAATGCAAAGACACTCAACTATAGGCGCATTGACTAAAGTTACAATATGGCATTGAGTGCATCAATGAGTTTTTTTTTATTTTTTGCAAATGTTATGATGAAAAATGCAAAAGGGTATGGAAGCCCGTTTCCGCCACTGAATAAAAAATAAAAGAGGTAATTGCGACTTTTTATCTCACAATTCTGCCTTTTTTTCTCAGAATTGCGTGATATAAACTCACAATTGCGAGTTATAAAGTCAGAATT